GAATATAAAATATAATATTAAAAAATTAATAAATTCCTTCTGCTGTAGTGCTGTTCATATAAAAACAAAAACATCATTAATGTTCTGACACACATTCTGGTGGAATGCGTGGCAAATGGCAATGGCGAATGGCACAATGCGTCGAATGCGATGATTTCAGACCATTTTGATATGCACTGTTCGGCTTCCTTCATGTTCATGTCTATTTTTCTTCCATGATGTACTGATATTAACCGTTTATTTTCTAGCAATGATATAATAATAATAATAATAATAATAATAATAATAATAATATGATAACAAGTTCAAGTATTAACCGTTTTTTTTTTCATGTTTATAATAACGAATCTACTCGTCTGTCGTACTACTGCTTTCTGAATTTCTGATTCCTGGTTAGTGGTTTTACCTTTTTAGTTATTACTTTTTTTTAAATATGAAAATTGTATTGTCTGTACTCTATACAAAATAGTAAGTATAAAGTATAATATATTGCAGTTTGCAATTTGATTTTTAGATTACAGAGTTTAACGTTACAAATATAACTCGCATTGTTACTAATACAAAATTCAAATGTATAAACTTTATTGTTGTTTGTGGGTATGAATAATGAACCTAGCTTGTAATTATGTAAATTGTATTTTATAGCTTATAATTCAATAATTATTGAAATTTCAGTTTTTAAAAACGATTTAAGTCATTATTATTGTTATTATAACTTGTTTAATTATTGTTGTATATAAAATAGGTACCTATTAGAAATGTCACATAATAATATGTTATATTTGTTTCAATAATATTATTAAAATTTCTATTCTTCTTTGTTTAGATTGAACATATTCAATGAAATAAAAACATAAAATAATGAAGAAGGCATCTTTTGGAAGACGTTCGTCAGCAGCTGGGCGAAACACTTTTGGCACATTTGGACGACAGAATTCATTTGATGGAAATGATATAAAGTATTCATTAATTCCAATATTAGCTTCTTATTGTTTAAAGGCTATTAATATTAGTTTATCATGTTAAAATAGTCAAAAATCATTAATCTATCTATGTCCATATACCTATGTAAAAAGCCTAGACTAAGAGCATCTAATATTTAAAATAAAATAAATTTCATTTATAAACYAATTTTACAATACATTGTTGTGTACAGTGGTGTTAAAGTGCTTAAAATATATTACAACATTATATATCAAGAGACCTACATCATAATCCCATTTTTATAAGTTGATTATCAGATTCAAATCAAAGCATCTAAAAATAAGAAATGTAACGTGTAATCGTATGCAATATCTTATAGTGGCCTCCCATTTAAAAAGTCTACTGTTACATGTCATAGATAAATTAGGTGATCGGTKCTACTAATTGTGAAGCTAATTAGCTATGCAATATTTTATTATAGCTATGATTAATTTTTTTTTTTGAATAGATTGAGTCGTCGAGAAAGTCGCGGTATGGAAAAAAAATCACTGCTTTTGAAACCTGGATTCTCTGCAAAAAAAAGATCTGCATCCTCAGACAATTTATCTGCACATGATCCAAAACAATGGTCATCAACTGTGAAAAAGCCAGCCAACCAACAAAGGAATACTTTAGTTCGTTCAACTACATCCATGAATATTACTGGTATTAATTTAGTTGCATCTACACCATGTGTTACRCCTGGGCTTAATCCAAATTTACCAGGAATAAATTCTAGTTACAAGTAACTATATTATTTACTGAGTTCTAAATTTAAATTAACCAATATATCATGTGATAAAAATTAATATTTTTGTAGGAATCGAAGGCTAAGCTCAGAATCACGTTATAGTAACTATGGTGGTGTACTTAAGAATAGAAAAGAAGTGCGACCATTGACTGAAAAAGACTTTCAACAAACAGCTATATATAAAGTACTAATTATATAATTAATAATAAAATATTTCTTTTTATTCTGTCTGAGATAACAACTTATTTTTGTGTTTTGAATAAGTTATATTCATATTTGTTATTTTTATTTAACAAATACACCTCAACTACTAGGGTTATTGGCGTTTCAAAATAAAAATTATAGTTTACTTAATTTTTACAAAATAATAAATTGTAAATAGGTGAAAAATTGAYACAATAAGTTTTAAGAGAAATATGTTTACATTTTGTGTGATATTTTAAATTTTGTTAATGCTATTATATTTTATGCAGAAGGTGTCTTTGAGAAATTTTAAAAGTGATGATGTTCTCTCTTTGTTTGGTGCAAGTATTTCACACAGATTGTTGGGGAGGCATTCAGTTAAAAGATGTTTTACTGTGATCGCGGTATTACATGAGGTGCATATCCGTTGTTCCTTTTTGTTCATTAAATGCTCATGAATTTATAATGTGTGGCCAATTCGTAGTCTGTCGGTGATGATTTAATGTTTGCATGGTAGTGACAAATCGTGCATCCAAAAGAGGTTGGAGGATTTAAGTTCTCYTAATTTGTCATTTTGTATTAATCTCCAAGACATGTTTGATTGAGGTTAGCATTTATTTGATGTTTTTTGTCGAAATGGGTTGTAATATTCCAGAATTCGGTTTGTTCTTTGGTTGCTCTTTTGGCTATTTCGTCTGCAATTTCATTACCTGGTATACTGTTGTGTCCAGGTACCCATATRTAACTGATGTATTTTTGTATATGAATAGAATGTTCAATATATGGGTGCACACATGGGGTTGGCCTTTTTGGGATTCACTAAGTTTTTGAGAGCACTTAGAGAGTCAGTGTATATGATTGTACATTGACTATCCGAGGTGGCAGCTAATTCTGTGGCTTTTAAAAGAGTTAGATATTCTGCTGTGTAAGTAGACTTGTAAGCTGGGATCTRAAGTGCTGTTTGAGAGTTTGACTGAATTAATGCGATTGCAGTTCCTTCTATGTTTTTGGATGCGTCTACATAAATTTGACAATGTGGTGGAAGGCTGTTTTATAAATCTAAGGAGTTTGGTTTGTGAATGTTGGAGCCGGT